GGGGTGCACTCGTGGCAATGCTAGAGCCTGCCCGACGCTTATGGCATTGCTAGTGCCCGCACGACCCATAACATTGCAAAAACAACAAGACTCCACAGTGTTCCTCTTCCTCCTCCTCCTCCTCTTCCTCCTCCTCCTTCTCCTCCTTCCCCATTCTCTTCTAGGAGTGCTGACATTATCTAGTTGGGTCATGAAACGTCTGCAAGAAAACAACCAAGCTCGGAGACCACCAAGGACTCCACAGTCTTCTTCTTCTTCCTCCTCCTCCTCCTCTCTATAAACCTCACTCCCTTTTAGCACTGATGATGTTCTCTAGTTGGGTCATGAAACGTCTGCAAGGAAACAGCCAAGGACCCCACAGTCCTCCTCCTCTCCACACACACCCTTCCAGCACTGATGATGTTACCTACTTGGGTCATGAAATGTCTTGAAACAAATCAAGCTCAGAGAGCACCAAGGATACCCCAGTCCTCTCCTCCTCCTCCTTCTCCTCCTCCTCTTCCTCCTCCTCCTCCTCCCTCTCCTCTCTGCGAATCCCACTCACTTCTAGCACTGATGATGTTCCCTAGTTAGGTCATGAAACGTCTGCAAGAAAACAGCCCTGCTCAGAGGACACCAAGGACCCCACAGTCCCTCCTCCTCCTCTTCTTCCTCCTCTTCCTCCCTCCCTCCCACTCCCTTCTAGCACTGATGATGTTCCCTAGTTGGGTCATGAAACGTTTGCAAGAAAACCACCCAGCTCAGAGAGCACCATAGTTCAATCCTGTGCTATATATGTTCTCTTCTATCAGTAGATACATATTTATGCACAAACAAGCGCCCTTATAATACCATTCTTTTGCTCATGTTGACTTTTTTCTCCTTTTAGGGCACTCAAGGATTTCCTGGTGCGCCAGCCATGGGTGTAAGTCTCACTTCATAGTGGTCTCAGCCAAAATGCTGGTCATCTCTGAACTAATGTTAAACTAATGCAAAGCCTTCATATAGAGCAGGGGTAGGCAACCTTGGCTCTTTCATGACTCGTGGACTTCAACTCCCAGAATTCCTGAGCCAGCATGAGGGAACTATGGCCCCCTCATGACTCGTGAACTTCAACTCCCAGAATTCCTGAGCCAGCATGGCTCAGCTTGGAAACCTCTCCCTTTCCCCTCAGCGTGGCTGGCTCAGGAATTCTGGGAGTTGAAGTCCATGAGTCATAAAAGAGCCAGAATTGCCTATCCCTGGTATGGGGATACCGGTTGTCCTTGACTTTCAACCCTTCAGTTCCAATGGCACTGCAAAACAGGGAACGGTCATTAAACAGGTGGCTGTAAGCTCCCTGTAGAGAGGTACAAAGGTTTAGCAAAACTTGCAGCCAAGGTAATCAGGGTTTTGACCGGCTTGCAAGGTCCTTTCCCACAGATTTTGTCCCTTCTCTAATTCTACATTGTGTCCCAAATTATCATGGTTTCTTTCACTTGTCCATCTTCCATGTTTGTTGTTGTTAGTTGCGAAGTCGTGTCCGACCCATCGCGACCCCATGGACAACATTCCTCCAGGCCTTCCTGTCCTCTACCATCTTCTGGAGTCCATTGAAGTTCACGCCTCCTGCTTCAGGGACTCCATCCAGCCACCTCCTTCTCTGTCGTCCCCTTCTTCTCTTGCCCTCCATCTTTCCCAGCATGAGGCTCTTCTCCAGTGAGTCCTTCCTTCTCATTAGATGGCCAAAGTACTTGAGTTTCAGCTTTAGGATCTGGCCTTCTAGAGAGCAGTCGGGGTTGATCTCCTCCAGGACTGACTGGTTGGATCGCCTTGCAGTCCAGGGGACTCGCAGGAGTCTTCTCCAGCACCACAGTTCAAAGGCCTCCATTCTTTGGCGCTCAGCCTTTCTTACGGTCCAACTTTCACAGCCATACATTGCAACTGGGAAAACCATGGCCTTGACTGTACGCGCTTTTGTTGGCAGGGTGACGCCTCTGCTTTTTAGTAGGCTGTCTAGATTTGCCATAGCTTTCCTCTCCAGGAGCAAGCGTCTTTTCATTTCTTGGCTGCAGTCCCCATCTGCGGTGATCTTGGAACCCAGGAAGATAAAATCTGTCACTTCCACGTTTAGCTTTAATTAAAAAAAATTATACAGTTTCTCAATCGATTTTTCATCTGATGTCAACCATACCTGATCAAACCTGGCAAGGTCCTGATTTAATCTCTTTGTCCCCAGGTGGTGGGACCTACAGGGAAGAAAGGTGTTCGGGTAAGTGGAGACGTTGACTCAGGAAGCGAAAGATGGATTGACAGAGGGATCTCGGAGTCCTAGTGGACAATCCCTTAAATCTGAGCCAACTGTGTGCTGCAGCTGCCAAAAAAGCCAACACAGTGCTAGGCTGCATTAACAGAGGGATAGAATCAAGATCACGTGAAGTATTAATATCACTTTACAAGGCCTTGGTAAGGCCACACTTGGAATACTGCATCCAGTTTTGGTCACCACGATGTAAAAAAGATGCTGAGACTCTAGAAAGAGTACAGAGAAGAGCAACAAAGATGATCAGGGGACTGGAGGCTGAAACATACAAGGAACAGCTGCTGGAGTTGGGTATGTCCAGTTTAATGAAGAAAAGGACGAGGGGGGACATGACAGCAGCGTTCCAGTATCTCAGGGGCTGCCCCAAAGAAGAGGGAGTCAAGCTATTCTCCAAAGCACCTGAAGGCAGGACAAGAAGCAACGGATGGAAACTAACCAAAGAGAGAAGCAACCTGGAACTAAGGAGAAACTTCCTGACAGTTAGAACAATTAACCAGTGGAACAACCTGCCTCCAGAAGCGGTGAAAGCTCCAACACTGAAAGTTTTTAAGAAGAGACTGGACGGCCATTTGCCTGAAATGGTATAGAGTTTCCTGCCTGAGCAGGGGGTTGGATTAGATGACCTCCAAGGTCCCTTCCAACTTTATTATTATTATTATTATTATGGATCATCGCACAGTCAGCCAGATGTTCAGACTGGATTTGGCATTTTGTCTACCTATCGAGTCCTTACCCAGGGCCTGGGATAGGCAGATGTGGATGTTTGATGGTATTACAGATATCGTCGCAGGATGGAAGCAGTTCCTAGTAAGGCCGCCTTTTGCAATTGACTAATAGCGAATTTGTCAATGCCAATGATGGTGTTCAAGTATTATTATTATTATTATTATTATTATTATTATTATTATTATTACCTCAGAGATGAAGGTTGTGGCTCAACACGGTTTTAGACAGACCAAGACAATTAACGAGAGCGTCTGTGACTACAATTGGTCCTCAGACTTACGGCAGTTCATGTAGTGAGCATTCAAAGTTATGACGTCACTGAAAAAAGCAACTTAAGACCATTTTTCAACCGTTGCAGCGTCCTCCAGGCTCACGTGATTCACATTTGGACGCTTGACAACTGATTCACATTTACGACGGTCCCACGGTCACGTGATCCCCTTTTGCGATCTTCTGACAAGCCAAGTCCACAGGGAAAGCCAGATTCATTTAACAACCGTGTGACTCGCTTAAGAACGGCAGCGATTCCCTTAACGTTAATGTGGCGATAAACATCGTAAAATGGGGCAAAGCCTGCTTAACAACTGTCTCACTTAGCAACATAGGTTTTTTTGGACTCAGTTGTGGTCTACGATGGTTTCTGTGGACCCTTAAAAAAAGGACCATCTGGATTAGTGCCGGCCCAATATTCGCATTTATTTCTGGACGCATTTCCCCATATAATGTTTACATTTTTGGAAGGCAGGTATTTTTTTAAATAAAATAAAATAAAATAAAATAAAATAAATCCAGACTTATTTTGTAATGCTCAAAGAAGTGCAGAATTTGAATAATAATAATAATAATGATGATGATGATGATGATGATGATGATGTTGGAAGGGACCCTGGAGATCATCTAGTTCAACCCCTGCTCAGGCAGGAAGCCTAGACCAGCGGTTCTCAACCTATGGGTCGCGACCCCATTTGGGGTCGATCGACCATTTTACGGGGGTCGGCAAACAATGCGATCCGCCATTTTCCCCCCTCAAGGGGGTCGCCGTCACACAAACGTTGAGAAACACTGCCCTAGACCATTTCAGTCAAAGGGGTATCCAGTCTCTTCTTAAAAATTTCCAGTGTTGGAGCATTCACTGCTTCTGGAGGCAGGTAGTTCCACTGGTTAATTGTTCTCGCTGTCAGGAAGTTTCTCCTTAGTTCTAGGTTGCTTCTCTCCTTGATTAGTTTCCATCCGTTGCTTCTTGTCCTGCCTTCAGGTGCTTTGGAGAATAGCTTGACTCCCTCTTCTTTGGGGCAGCCCCTGAGAGATTGGAAGACTGCTATCATGTACCCCCTCGTCCTTCTCTTCATTAAACTGGACATACTCCATTCCAGCAACCGTTCCTTGTATGTTTTAGCCTCCAGTCCCCTAATCATCTTTGTTGCTCTTCTCTGCACTCTTTCTAGAGCAGCGGTTCTCAATCTGTGGGTCGGGACCCCATTTGGGGTCGAACGACCATTTCACGGGGGTCGCCAAACAACGCAGTCCACCATTTTTTCCCCCTTTTCCTTAGCTGTGCTCCTCCCTTTTATTCTATTGGCTTTTGAAAGCCAATAGAATAGACTCTTGAATAGAGTCCAATTCTATTGGCTTTCCAAAGCCAATAGGAATTGTCCAGGCTGTCTCTGCCCTGCTGAGCCCACCAAAAGTCCCATTCTGCAAACAGTGCTGCTGTACCAGTTGAGTCGTCCTCGACTTACGACCGGTTGAGTAGTCCTCGACTTACGACCGGTTGGGGGTTGCGGCATTAAAAAGGTTGAGAACCACTGTTCAGCATCTTTTTGACATCGTGGTGACCAAAATCTTTCTCCCTAATCAGCCAGGAGATATAAATTAAGTTGGGTCACTCCCTTTGGCTGGGAAAAACAGTTCTCATAGGAGATGAGTTGCACAGAAATTAGGGCGTGGTTTGAGAATAACGGCTCAGAAATTTCCATTTTGTTTCCGTCTCTAGGGAGAAATTGGGCTGGTGGGTCCTCCAGGATCAAAAGGCCCCCAAGGGGAGCGAGGAGAAAAAGGTGAAAAGGTAAAGGGTGATCTTTTATTTAAAGTACTAAAAGGCTGTGTTTCATAGCAGAGTTTTGCCAACTTTCACTTTGTGGTGATCCAAAGACACAACATAATCTAACATCAATTTAGAGAATGTTGTGGCAAAATGGTTTAATTTTATCTCTCCTCACTCTCTGCTCTCTCTCATCTATTATCTATCTTTCTATTATTTATTATCTATAGAATAGAATAGAATAGAATAGAATGGAATGGAATGGAATGGAATGGAATAGAATAGAATAGAATAGAATAGAATAGAATAGAATAGAATAGAATAGAATAGAATAGAATAGAATAGAATAGAATAGAAAGAATATGAAATATGGAATATGGAATATATAATAGGATAGAATAGGATAGAATAGAAAAGAGAATGGAATGGAATGGAATGGATTGGAATAGAATAGAATAGAATGGAATGGAATGGAATGGAATGGAATGGAATTGAATATGGAATATGGAATATAGAATAGAATGGAATAGAATATGGAATATGGAATATGGAATATAGAATAGAATAGAATAGAGAATGGAATGGAATGGAATAGAATAGAATAGAATAGAATAGAATAGAATAGAATAGAATAGAATAGAATAGAATCTTTATTGTTACCTTAAATGTACACTAATCAGCATTCATTAAAATGAAATTCCGTTGCATTCAGCTCTCACAAAAATACCCTTACGGATATACCCACATATAACATACATATATGACACAGAGAAACATCACAATCGAGTTCGGATGTATACATGTACATGGCGAAAAAAAAAAAGGAATCCTGTGAATTTATCAGACAGATGGCATATAAGGAACAAAGCTGTTACCGAATTTGCTAGTCCTGCTATAAATACTTCCAAACCTCCTCCAAGAGGGAAGCAACAGGAACAGACAGTGAAGTGGGATGCTCCGAGCCTCTGGATTCTGAGCGATTTCTAGACTGGCTGTAGGCTGATATGTCTGTTGCTTGACCCTCAACCAAGACCCATCACCAGCCTCTCACTGATGACTCACCCCTGACCCATCACAAGACCCATCGCAAGACCCTCACTCGACACACCCACATCCGAAGCCCTTCTCAACAGAAGAAAAGCGACACTGACATCGCCTCAAGTGGGCTGAAGGAGTTACCTAGCCTGGTAACGAAACGTCCAGAAACCAACCCACAAGCTCGGAGATTGAACCTTCACCCACCTCCTCAGTTCTCCGCAAAGTAAAAAGAAAGGAGAGGTGTGCTCAGACTTTCAAGGTCCTGTTACAGCCAACCCTATACTATAGGTAGTGTTAGTGCTCTTGACACTGGTTTCCTACCTGGACTACCTTCAAGGGTTAGCGAGCGGAAATAACCTTGATTTTTTTTTTATTTCCTCTCTATAGGGAAATCCCGGATTTGGGATCCCAGGCCAACTGGGACTGAAAGGTGAACCTGGAGAAAGAGTGAGTTGGAAAACAGGATGAGGTCCACCTTTTGGGGAAAGAGCAGTCTCAAAATATGCGGGAGGAGTAACGGAAATTCTCGGAGTTGAAACCTACCCATCTTAAGCCAAGTTGGCTGGGGAATTCTGGGAGTTGCAATCCACCCATCTTAAAACATGCTGGCTGGGGAATTCTGGGAGTTGAAGTCTGGCCATCTTAACCATGCTGGCTAGGGGATTCTGGAAGTTGACGTCCACCTGTCTTAAAGCATACCGGCTGGGGGATTCTGGGAGTTGAAGTTCGCTCATCTTAAAGCATGCTGGCTGGGGAATTTTGGGAGTTGAAGTCCACTTGTCTTAAAGCATGCCAGCTGGGGGATTCTGGGAGTTGAAGTCTGCTCATCTTAAAGCATGCTAGCTGGGGAATTCTGGGAGTTGAAGTCCGCCCATGTTAAAATATGCTGGCTAGGGAATTCTGGGAGTTGACATTCACCCATCTTAAAGCATGCCAGCTGGGGGATTCTGGGAGTTGAAGTCTGCTCATCTTAAAGCATGCTAGCTGGGGAATTCTGGGAGTTGAAGTCCGCCCATGTTAAAACATGCTGGCTAGGGAATTCTGGGAGTTGAAGTTCACCCATCTTAAAGCATGCTGGCTGGTGAATTCTGGGAGTTGGTTTGCCCATCTTAACCAAACTGACCGGGGAATTCTGGGAGTTGAAGTCCACTTGTCTTAAAGCATGCTGGCTGGGGGATTCTGGGAGTTGAAGTCCACCCATCTCAAAACATGCTGGCTGGTGAATTCTGGGAGTCGAAGTCCACATATTTTAAAGTTTCCAAGGTTGAGAAGCACTGCTCTACAAGTATCTTCGGCAACATTTGTTTTTGGTCTGGCATTCTTCTCTGCAGAATACTTATCAGGGATTGCACTGAATGGATTTGCTATAGGAATAACTGTCCAGCTAATTTTGTTTCCAAATTTTGCAGGGGAATGTTGGTTTATCTGGCAAGCCAGGGCAAAAGGTGAGACTCTGTGAATAATTAGTGCACCATGAGCAGTCCTTGTAATCGTGCCTTGTGACATCATTAGCAGTTTAGAAAATTTCACGCAGGGACTGCCTGCAAAATTCAGATATTCAAGATATTTTCCTATTCTTAGCCCACATCAGTGATCAAGCTTGCATGGTGTTGTCTAAAAGCCATCTCCCTTATTTTAATTGATTTAAACACTGGTTTCAGTTTCCCCAACTGATCAGAGAGAGGCCAGCAGGAAGCCAAAACATCCATTCTATCTGGTACACCAGATTATGTGGTTCAAATTGTCGCTCTGTTTTGGGAAGATTGGAACCTATTTACAGCACCAGAAATATCGTGAATCAATTCTTTGTGGCAGCCAGTTTTTCAGATCTGAAGCCCTAGAGGGAGGGAGGGAGGGAGGGAAGGAAGGAAGGAAGGAAGGACGGAAGGAAGGAAGGCAGGAAGAAAGAAAGGAAGAGGGGAAGGAAGGAAGGAAGGACAGAAGGAAGGAAGAACAGAGGAAAGAACGGAGGGAGGGAGGGAGGGAGGGAGGAAGGAAGGGAAGAAGGAAGGAAGGTGGAATGGAAGAATGGAGGAAAGAACAGAAGGAAGGAAGGGAAGGAGGGAGGGAGGGAGGAAAGAAGGAAGGAAGGAAGAACAGAGAGAAGAATGGAAGGAAGGGAGGGAGGGGGAGGGAGGAAGTGAGGAAGGGAGGAAAGAAGGAAGGGAGGGAGGGAGAAAGAGGGGGAGGAAAGAAAGAAGGAAGGAAGAATGGAGGGAAGAAAGGAAGGGAGGGAGGGAGGGGGAAGGAGGGAAGGGAGGAAAGAAAGGGAGGGAGGGAGGAAAGAAGGAAGGAAGAACGGAGGGAAGAACAGAAGGAAGGGAGGGGGAAAGAGGGACGAAGGGAGGAAAGAAGGGAGGGAGGGAGAGAGGGAGGAAAAAAAGAAGGAAGGAAGGAAGAATGGAAGGAAGAACGGAAGGAAGGGAGGGGGAAGGAGGGAGGAAGGGAGGAAAGAAGGAAGGAAGGAAGGAAGGAAGGAAGGGAGGGAGGAAAGAAAGAAAGAAGGAAGGAAGGAAGGAAGGAAGGAAGGAAGGAAGGAAGGAAGGAAGGAAGGAAGGGGGATGCTGCAACGGTCTAAGTGTGAAAATGTCATCAATCACTTTTTTCAGTGCCATTGTAATGGTCACTAAATGAACTATCGTAAGTCGAGGACTACCCGTAGGGCAAAATAAATACACCATAAATGCCTTTTCTTCTTTCTTTTTTTCCTCCAGGGGGCCACTGGAGACAAAGGCGATAAGGGCGAAACCGTAAGTTTGCATGTTCTCCTTTCTCTTCAGACTTGGCCAACCCCTCTCTTTCATCTCTTCCCTTGCTGTAAGTGTGTGTGTGTGTGTGTGTATGTGATGATGATGATGATGATAATAATAATGATGATGATGATGATGATGGAAGGGACCTTGGAGGTCATCTAGTCCAACCCCCTGCTCAGGCAGGAAACCCTATCCCTATTCGGACAAATGGCTGTCCAGAACAATTAACCAGTGGAACCACCTGCCTCCAGAAGCGGTGAACGCTCCAACACTGGAAGATTTTAAGAAGAGACTGGACAGCCATTTGTCTGAAATGGGATAGGGTTTCCTGCCTGAGCAAGTGAAGTGTTGATACCACTTTACAAGGCCTTGGTAAGGCCACACCTGGAATCCTGCATCCAGTTTTGGTCACCACGATGTAAAAAAGAGGTTGAGACTCTAGAAAAAGTGCAGAGAAGAGCAACAAAGACGATCAGGGGACTGGAGGCTAAAACATATAAGGAACGGTTGCTGGAATTGGGTATGTCTAGTTTAATGAAGAGAAGGACGAGGGGGGACATGATAGCAGTCTTCCAGTATCTCAGGGGCTGCCCCAAAGAAGAGGGAGTCAAGCTGTTCTCCAAAGCGCCTGAAGGCAGGACAAGAAGCAACGGATGGAAACCAATCAAGGAGAGAAGCAACCTGGAACTAAGGAGAAACTTCCTGACAGTGAGGACAATTAACCAGTGGAACTACTTGCCTCCAGATGTTTTAGGTGCTCCATCACTGGAGGCTTTCAAGAAGCTGTTAAGCAAATCTGGCTTCCCCCTTTGACTTGGCTTGTTGAGAAGAAGGACCCAAATGGCAATCACGTGACTCTGTGATACTACAACCCTCGTAAATACATGCCAGTTGCCAAGTCCCCGAGTTTTAATTATATGATAGTCGCAATGCTATGATGGTTGCAAGTGTGAGGACCAACAAGAAGCCACTTTTTCCTGGGTCAGTCTAACTTCGCACGGTTGCTAAAGAAACCGTTGCAAGTCCAGGACTTCCTGTAGTGGGGAAGACCCCTTGCGGAAGCTTCTAGAAAGCAGGCGATTCTCTAGTAGAGTAGGAAGGTTCAAGGACGAAATTTCCAGCCAAGGGAAACGCAGATCCGTGACTTGGGTGACCTTCATTCCACCGGAATCTGTCCAAGTAGACACCAGATTTCTGTGAAATGAAGCCCACCGGGCATGGGGTTAACTCCTCTGAGTTCTTCCTTCCGGACCTCCTCAGATGGAAACTCATCAAGGAGAGAAGCAACCTAGAACTAAGGAGAAATTTCCCGATGGGGTCTCTTGCTCAAGGGGTTGGACTAGAAGACCTCTGAGGTCCCTCCCAAGCCTATGATTCTATGTTTATTCAACCCAACGCCCATATCTCCACAAAGCCGGAGGTCAACAGAGCTGTGGCTATCTCTTCTTTCTATGGATGTGAGTCCTGGATTCTGTACCAAAGACACATCAGACAACAATTCTCCAAAGCACCAGAAGGGCAGGAGAAGAAGCAACGGATGGAAACTGATCAAGGAGAGAAGCAACCTGGAACTAAGGAGAAACTTCCTGACAGTGAGAACAATTAACCAGTGGAACAACCTGCCTCCAGAAGCGGTGAATGCTCCAACACTGGAGGTTTTTAAGAAGAGACTGGACAGTCATTTGTCCAAAATGGTATAGGATTTCCTGCCTGAGCAGGGGGTTGGACTAAATGACCTCCAAGGTCCCTTCCAACTCTGTTACTCTACTCTACTCTACTCTACTCTACTCTTATTCCTATTCCTATTCCTATTCTATTCTATTCTATTCTATTCTATTCTATTCTATTCTATTCTATTCTATTCTATTCTATTCCATTCAATTCCATTCCATATTTTCTATTCCATTCCATTCCATTCCATTCCATTCCATTCCATTCTATTCTATTCTATTCTATTCTATTCTATTCCATTCCATTCCATTCCATATTTTCTATTCTATTCTATTCTATTCTATTCTATTCTATTCTATTCTATTCTATTCTATTCTATTCTATTCTATTCTATTCTATTCCATTCCATTCCATTCCATTCCATCCCATTCCTTCCCTTCTTCTTCTCCTCCTCTCCACAAGCCCCCCTCCCTTCTAACACTGATGATGTTACCTAGGTGGGTAATGAAATGTCTTCAAGAAAACCACCAAGTTCCAGGAGCACGGAGGACCCCACGTCTTCTACCCCCCTCTCCACTTTTAAGTTGGAGGAGAAAATCCCTCCCAGTCACACACCCTTTCATCTTCACATTTTGGCACTGGGACTTCGGGACTTCAAATTTTGGCAGTGGGATTCAGGCAGGCCTCCCTTTTTGGTTTTACACACTAGAAGTTGTGCTGGATGGTTGAGGAGACCTCATTGGCAACATCCAGATAGTAATGGGGGGTCTGGAAGAAATACCTCAGCCCCAGAGGAAAAGCATTTTTTTCCATGGATTTATTTAGCTGCTGGCTTTAGGGAACCCTATTCACTACCTGTTTTTTTTAGTAAAGTTGAAGAATTAAATTAAGGAATCACCCCTGAACAGGTAGCTTCAAACAGATGCAAAATTTCTGTTTTCTTTCCAAGGGAGACCCTGGACCGGCTGGCAAAGCAATGGATATCAAGGTAAATGCATGTAGTCCTAACTTACAGCTACAACTGGGACCAGAAATTAGCTTATTATTAGCATGCTTTGAGATGAGTGGACTTCTGCTCCCAGAATTCCCCAGCCAGCATGTTTTGAGATGGGTGGACTTCAACTCCCAGAATCCCCCAACTAGAATACTTTAAGATAGGCACACTTCCACTCCCAGAATCCCTCAGCCAGCCTGGATTGAGATGGATGGATTTCAACTCCCAGAATTCCCTAGCCAGGATGTTTTGAGATGGGTGGATTTCAATTCCCAGAATTCCCTAGCCAGCCTGCTTAAGACGGATGGACTTCAGCTCCCAGAATTCCCCATCCAGGATGTTTTGAGATGGCTGGACTTCAGCTCCCAGAATTCCACAGCCAGCCTGCTTTAAATGGGTGGACTTCAACTCCCAGAATTCCCCAGCCAGCATGCTTTAAGACAGGTGGAGTTTGACTCCCAGAATTCTCCAGCTAGCATGCTTTAAGACGGATGGACTTCAGCTCCCAGAATTCCCCATCCAGGATGTTTTGAGATGGCTGGATTTCAATTCCCAGAATTCCACAGCAGGCCTGCTTTAAGACAAGTGGACTTCAACTCCCAGAATTCCCCAGCTATCATGCTTTAAGACGGGTGGACTTCAACTCCCAGAATCCCTCAGCCGGCATCCTTTGAGATGTGTAGACTTCAGCACCCAAAGATCCTCAGCCAACTCAGCAATTGTAAGTGGCGTGGACATCAGCTAGCCTACTGGCTGGGGAATTATGGGAATCGACGTCCACGTGCCTTAAAGGTTGCTGGCTAGGGAATTCTGGGAGTTGTAGTCTACATATTCTAAAATGGCTAAGATGAAGACTTCAAAGGAAGGACACACTGTCCGGAAGATGTTGGGGGGACATTTTATATAAGCAAGTATCTCAACGAAACGTGTTGTAATGTAACCCATTTTTTGTCTCTACCTGGGAGTCAATGAACACCCTTTTTTTTTCTTTTTTTGATTTTTAAATAGGACCTGGAAGAACTTTTGGAAGCTTATGGTATCAAGGTAGGTAACCTCCTTGCCTACAAATGACATTAAATGGCAAGCAACTTATTTATCGTTATGAGCTGAAGCTGACGGAAAAATTCGGGCCATCGACCAGCTTCAAGAAACCTCAAATACATTTGGATAAAACTTAATCTGGACATAAAAATTATATTTCATATTTTAGAAATTGGACATCCTGGATTACTGGTGTGTGTGTGTGTGTGTGTGAAGGACAGATGTTTTAAGGAACAAATTAAACATCTGTCTACACGGAGATCATAACTCAAGGGCTACCTGTATGCTCTCTATAACTTCTTTGTGTGCAAATTTTCAGCATGTGAGTGAGAAACAGAATGGCCGGCTGGCCATCATCTATAACAGTGGTTCTCAACCTTTTTAATGCCGCGACCCCCAACCGGTCGTAAGTCGAGGACTACTCAACCGGTCGTAAGTCGAGGACTACTCAACTGGTGCAGCACCGTTTGCAGAATGGGACTTTTGGTGGGCTCAGCAGGGCAGAGACAGCCTGGACAATTCCTATTGGCTTTTGAAAGCCAATAGAATTAGACTCTATTCAAGAGAGTCTATTCTATTGGCTTTCAAAAGCCAATAGAATAAAAGGGAGTAGCACAGCTAAGGAAAAGGGGGAAAAAATGGCGGACTGCGTTGTTTGGCGACCCCCGTGAAATGGTCGTTCGACCCCAAATGGGGTCCCGACCCACAGGTTGAGAACCACTGATCTATAATAATAATAATAATAATAATAACAACAACAACAATAACAATAAAGTTGGATGCGACCTTGGAGGTCCTCTAGTCCAACCCCCTGCTCAGGCAGGAAAGCCTATGCCATTTCAGACAAATGGCTGTCCAGTCTCTTCTTAAAAACTTCCAGTGTTGGAGCATTCACCGCTTCTGGAGGCAGGTGGTTCCACTGGTTAATTGTTCTCACTGCCAGGAAGTTTCTCCTTAGTTCCAGGTTGCTTCTCTCCTTGATTAGTTTCCATCCGTTGCTTCTTGTTCTGCCTTCAGGCGCTTTGGAGAATAGCTTGACTCCCACTTCTTTGGGGCAGCCCCTGAGATACTAGAAGACTGTTCTCATGTCCCCCCTCGTCCTTCTCTTCATTAAACTAGACTTACCAAATTCCAGCAACTATTCTTCCTATGTTTTAGCCTCCGGTCCCCTGATCATCTTGGTTGCTCTTTGTTGACATGACATTGTGTTTCATCAATAACTCAGATGTGTTTTGCTCTCTTTACTTACCACCGGGGTCTTCTGCGCCGAAAGTTGGGCCAATATTTTGGCCGAGTAGTTTTTGGCTGAAGAATCCATAAATTCATTGGGAGTAGGGGATGGTGCAACACCATCGGTCCCTCTGACGTTGCTGACTTTCAGAGCTGCAGTCGACTCCTTCTTGGAAGCTAAAAACCAAACAAGCAGCAGATAATCAGTGGAACTCCTTGCCTCCAGAGGTTGTGGGTGCTCCATCACTGGAGATTTTCAAGAAGAGACTGGACAGCCGTTTGTCTGGAATGGTGCCTGAGCAGGGGGTTGGACTAGAAGACCTCCAAGGTCCCTTCCAGCTCTGTTCTGATTGATTGATTAAATCAGTGGTTCTCAACCTTTTTAATGCCACGACCCCAACTGGTTGTAAGTCGAGGACTACCCAACTGGTCGTAAGTCGAGGACTTTCCCTGCCCGGGAGCACCAGGCATGCGTGGTGCCGCCCCCTGTGCCGGCCGAGGCGTAGCTGGCAAGGGGCAGCAACGGCGCAGGCCGACCACCAGCTGGGCCACCAGCTGGCCCAGCCCAAGGGAGGTAAGGCACCCGCCGGGCCCCACGCGCGCCAGCAACCCTCCCTGCGCCCGCCGGCCTCCCACCTCCCACCCCTGGCCCTCTTTTCCTTACATTTTTAGTAGTTGCTCAGCAGGGAGGGGTGGAAGCTTCCAGACAGCTCGCCTTCGCTGCAGACAACTTGCAGCACCGTTTGCAGACTGGGACTTTTGGCAGGCTCAGCAGGGCAGAGACAGCCTGGACAATTCCTATTGGCTTTTGAAAGCCAATAGAATTAGACTCTATTCAAGAGAGTCTATTCTATTGGCTTTCAAAAGCCAATAGAATAAAAGGGAGTAGCACAGCTAAGGAAAAGGGGGAAAAAATGGCGGACTGCATTGTTTGGCGACCCCCGTGAAATGGTCATTCGACCCCAAATGGGGTCCCGACCCACAGGTTGAGAACCACTGGATTAAATGAATGGTTGAAACTCAAGGGCTACCTGTCGTTTCCTTAGCCTGGTATCCTTCAGAAGACTACAGCTCCCAGCATTCCTAGCTAACATACAGTACTGTGAAGGAATTCTGAGTAATCCCAGCAAATCTGGAAGATGCCTTAACTCTGACAATTCTCATTATTTTCTAGTTCAGATCTGGCTGGGCTTTCTTTGGTGGTAGAACAGGATCAACCCCCATTTTCTACTTTTCTTTTTATTTTGTTTTCAACTTGTAGCTGGCTCTGTTGAAGGAACTGACGGACCTCCTTCTGCAGGGCGGGGTACAAAGGATGGCCCCCCAGGTTGCTGATGCCAAGAAAGAAAAGGAGAAGGGGGGAAAGAAGAAGAAAAAGCAGCAACAGCAGCAAGGATCACCCCCCCAAAACTCTACGGTGAGGGTCTCAGGCACCTCTGGCCCCGGAAGTGGATATTGGAGTTTGGAGGTGGTGTGGGTTCCGAAAATCGTTCCCACTACCATTTTATTGTTATTTTATTATCAGTAAGAGGAGAGGAGAGGAGACAGGGAGGGAGGGAGGAAGAGAAGGAAGAAGAAGAGGAGAGAGAAGAGGAGAGGACGAAGGAGAGGAGACAAGGAGGGAGGGAGAGAGAAGAGGGAGAGGGAGAGAAGGAGGAGAGGAGAAGGAAGGAGAAACGAGAGAAGAGAGGAGGGAGAGGAGAGGAAGAAGGAGAGGAGAGAGGAGAGCAGAGCAGAGGAGAAGAAGAGAGGGAGGGAGGAAGAGAGGAGAAGGAAAGAGAGGAGAGGAGAGGAGAGGGAGGGAGGGAGGAAGAGAAGGAAGAAGAAGAGGAGAGAGAAGAGGAGAGGATGAAGGAGAGGAGACAAGAAGGGAGGGAGGGTGAGAGAAGAGAGAGAGGGAGAGAAGAAGGAGGAGAGGAGAAGGAAGGAGAAACGAGAGAAGAGAAGAGGGAGAGGAGAGAGCAGAGCAGAGAAGAGGAAGAGAGGGAGGGAGGAGAAAGAAAGAGAGGAGAGGAAGAGAGGGAGGGAAGAAAAGGAAGAAGAAGAGGAAAGGAGAGGAGAGGATGAAGGAGAAGAGAGGAGACAAGAAGAGAGGGAGGGAGAGAGGGAGAAAGGAGAAGGAAGGAGAGAGGAGAGAAGAAAAGAGGAAGAGAGAGAGAAGAGGAAGGAGGAGAGGAGAGAGGAGGGGAGAGGAGAGGAGAGAGGGAAGGAGGGAGGGAGGGAGAGGAGAAGAAAGGAGAATGGTGGGGAGAGGAGGGGAGAGGATAGGAGAGGGAGGGAGGAGAGGAGAGAAGAAGGAAGGAGAATGGAGGGGAGAGGAGGGAGAGGGGAGGGGTAAGGGTGGGGGAGAGGAGAGAAGAGAAGAAGAGAGAGAGGACAGGAGAAAAAAGGAAGGGAGGGAGGGAGGGAAAGAAAAAAGAAAGAAAGAAAGAGAGAAAGAAAGAAAGGAAAGAAAGAAAGAAAGAAAGAAAGAAAGAAAGAAAGAAAGAAAGAAAGAAAGAAAGAAAGAAAGAAAGAAAGAAAGAAAGAAAGTCTTGGATAGAAAATCTTTCTCACAAATACTGTTGTCATTTAAAAAAAAAAAATTCCTCAGGCTCCTAAACTGCATTTTCACGTTGTGTTAGGTTGTTACTCCAGAAAGCCTTCCCTCTACAAGCAGTCGTGAAACACAGGGGTTTGTGATGTCTGACACAGCAACCAACTCCCAGAAACCGGAAGAGCTAGAAGTTTGGAAAACGACCGACATTCCCACAATCCCCAGCAGAGCGGAACGTCGGGATGGAAGCGGTGCGCCTTCTAAAACGGTCCCTCAGGATACGGAGGAGGCAACGAGGTTCCCCAGCCGATCAACTCTGAGGAATCCGAGGAAGGTAAAGTATCCCTACGGCCACTCTACATCTCGCAGGACGACAGGGAGTCCTCGACTTACGACCACAACTGAGCCCCGAATTTCCATCGCTAAGCGAGACAGGTGTTACGTGAGCTTGGCCCCCTTTGACCTTTCTCGCCACCGTTGTTCAGCGAATCCCTGCCGTCGTGAAGTTAGTAACCCGGTCAGTAAGTGAATCCGGCTTTCCCCCGTTGACTTTGCTTCTCAGAAGGTCGCAAAAGGGGATCGTGTGACACACACACACACACATACACACACACACACACCAGGACACGGTGACCGTCGTAAATGTGAGCCAGTGGCCAAGGGTCCGAATTTTGATCACATGACCACAGGGACGTTGCAACCGTTGTTAAGTGTGAAAATTGTCGTAAGTCGAAGAGACGGTGAGTTCTAGTTCCACCTAGACATGAAACCCAGCTAGGTGACTTTGGGCCAATCACCAGGAGACGGTGAGTTCTAGTGCTGCCTTAGCTATGAAAATTAGCTGGGTGACTTTGGGCCAATCACTCTCACTCAGCCCAACCCACCTCACAGGATTGTTGTTGTGGGGAAAATAGGAGGGGCTCGTGTGTGTGTTCCTTGTCTTGAGTTATTTGTATATATAATAAAGGCAGGATACAAATCAATAAAGGAGGGATAAAAATAAAATAATAAAATAAAATAAAATAAAATAATAAAATAATAAAATAAAAAATAAAATAAAATAAAAAATAAAATAAATAAAATAAAATAACATCTGATGTTCACCTGAGGTAATTTTTGCGGGCAATAAAAAGGAATTCTTTGTCAGCAGTTATTGCAGCTTCCACTAGAGGGCAGTCAACGCATAGATCAAGTCAGGCTCAGTCATTTTTTTTAAAAAAAGGGTTGATTTTGTTCCTACAAAGATTCATGTAGCAATCGGGTGATAGGATCCACTCAAAAGCGGCAGCGAATGGAGATCATGAGGGATCCTACTGACATTTAACAACCTCCCCAGAGGATTCCTTGTAGAAAGAAAGAAAGAAAGAAAGAAAGAAAGAAAGAAAGAAAGAAAGAAAGAAAGAAAGAAAGAAAGAAGGGAATGAGAAGAAAGAGGGAGGGAGGGAGGGAGGGAAGGAGAGAGAGAAAGGAAAGAACGAAGGAAAAAAGAAAGGAAGGAAGGAAGAAAGAAAGAAAGAAAGAAAGAAAGAAAGAAAGAAAGAAAGAAAGAAAGAAAGAAAGAAAGAAAGATTCCAGCTTTGCTGTCTTAACTGATGGACCCCCTTTACAGGGAGTCCTCAACTTATGACCTGATTCTTTATTCTATTCAATTTGATTCTTTATTCTATTCAGATTCTATTCTATTCTATTCTATTCTATTCTATTCTATTCTATTCAGATTCTATTCTATTCCATTCCATTCCATTCAATTCTATTCCATTCCATATTCTATTCTGTCCTGTTCTATGTTCTATGTTCTATATTCTATGTTCTATATTCTATATTCTATCTTTCATATTCTATTCTATTCTATTCTATTCTATTCTATTCCATTCCATTCCATTCTCTTTTCTATTCTTTTCTTTTCTGTTCTGTTCTGTTCCGTTCCGTTCTGTTCTATTCTTTATTCCATTCCTTTCTATTCTATTCCATATTTTCTACTCTATTCTATTCTATTCTATTCTATTCTATTCTATTCTATTCTATTCTATTCTATTCTATTCTATTCTATTCTAATGTAGTTGTATTTATTCACCTGCCCAATTCAATCAACACTAAGTGGCTTATCATACATAAACAAAACCAATTTTTAAAAAACACCCCATAAGAAGACAGGAGTTGATTAAACTAATAAATACCCCCCCAAAAATGGCACACACCCCCAAACTCCCATAAAATAAAATACAAAGTAGTCCTCAACTTGCAGCAGTTTGATTTAGTGACTGTTCAAAGTTACAACGGCACCGAAAAAAGTTGATTTATGACCCTTGTAGCAGCCCCCACGGTCACATCCTCAAAATTCAGCTGCTCGGCAACTGACTCGTACTTATAACGGTTGCTGTGTCCCGGGCTGGGTTGTGGTCATACGCCGAGGACTACCTGTAAAATAAATGCCCAAAGTTTCCCTTGTACTGCACGAAGGTACGGAGCGGTGACTGTGAAATAAAAGCTTGAAAATTCTCCCACGCAGCCCACCTTGTCACTAAATAAACAGGACAAATGCCACCGTTCACCTATTTTTCTGAATTTTCTCTGGGGTTGACACACACCCCCTTTTTTTCCAAGGAAAGATAATGGCTAATATTATCTTTCATCAACGTGTCAACCTGGAACGAAGTGAACGGATTCAGTTGTTGGCGAAGATCTTTGATCGTCCTCTTTTCTCGAGTTTCAAGAACAAAGATGGACAAGGGGGTCTTTTTCGAGGAAGATCAGATCAATGAAAATTGCTCGTGCGAAGGAAGAGGATGGCAGACAAGACCCTACTAAGTGATCAGGCTATTTCGATGTCCGTCCAAGAGATTGACAGGTTTTCCATCCCCTTCCCCCCCCCCAGGGTGCAGTTTTCGTAGCCAGACTTGAACACCCTAAAAAAAAAAATTAGAACAGTTAACCAGTGGAACAACCCGTCTCCAGAAGTTGTGAACGCTCCAACACTGGAAGTTTTTAAGAAGAGACTGGACAGCCGTTTGTCTGAAAGGGTAGAGGTTCTCCTGCCTCAGCAGGGAGCTGGACTAGATGACCTCCAAGGTCCCTTCCAGCTCTATTCTGTTCTAAAAAAAAATAATTCTTTAATGATTCTAATAGACAACGAAATGGCTTTCCCCCTGGTTAAAAAAAAACAATATTGCTGTGAAAGCTGGATTTGGGGGTGGGGTGGGGGAAACCAGAGAAAGGACAGATTTGAAGTAGGATTTGGAGAGGATTATTAAAGTCTTGGCTGTGGTTTCTTCTCCAAGTTTTATTTCAATATCACCACGATGTAAAAAAGATGTTGAGACTCTGTAAAGAGTGCAGAGAAGAGCAACAAAGATGATCAGGGGACTGGAGGCTAAAACATATATAATGAACGGTTGCAGGAATTGGTTATGTCTAGTTTAACGAAGAGAAGGACCAGGGGGGACATGACAGCAGTGTTCCAATATCTCAGGGGCTGCCCCAGAGAAGAGGCAGTCAAGCTCTTCTCCAAAGCCCCTGAAAGCAGGACAAGAAGCAACGGATGGAGACTCACCAAGGAGAGAAGCAACCTAGAACTAAGGAAAAACTTCCTGACAGTGAGAACAATTAACCAGTGGAACAACCTGCCTCCAGAAGCTGTGAATGCTCCAACACTGGAAGTTTTCAAGAAGAGACTGGACAGCCATTTGTCCGAAATGGTATAGGGTTTCCTGCCTGAGCAGGGGGCTGGACTAGATGACCTCCAAGGTCCCTTCCAACTTTATTATTATTATTATTATTATTATTATTTCTGAACGTTTCGTTACCAAACCAGGTAACGTCATCAGCACGATGTCCTTGTTCTCTTCTCCTTAGCTTATAAATGTCTTGGATTATTAAGAGCATGAGGGAAAGTCAAGAAAAAACAGTGATTCCGTAGGAGAGATACAGGGAGTCCTTGCCTTACGGCCGTTCATTTAGTAACTGCTGAAAGTTACAACAGACATACGACCACGTTCCAACCTTACGACCATTGCGCCATTTCCCCACAGTCACACGATCAAAATTCGGATGCTCGGCAACTGTTTCATATTTGTGACGGTTGTAGTGTCCCGGGGTCATGCGAACACGTTATTGTGACTTTTCGTTCAAGCAAAGTCAATCCGTCGCTAAACGAATTGTAATAAGTCAAAGACTGCCTGCATTGCATTCAGCCACTCTAAATGTTCTGGGAGATGCCCTTACTTCTGGTTTTCATCTGGGGCCTAGAACACACTCGACTTGAACCGTTTAGTGACGGTTCAAAGTTACAACAGCGCTGAAAAATTAACATAAGACCGTTTTTCATCCCCGTGATCCTGTGACCCAAACTCAAACACTTGGCAACTGGCATGTACTTATGCCGGTTGCTGTATCCCGGGGTCACGTGGTTATAAGCTGTACAACTCCAGAAGCAGTGAATGCTCCAATACTGGAAGTTTTGAAGGAGAGACTGGACAGCCATTTGTCTGAAATGGTGTAGGGTTTCCTGCCTGAGCAGGGGGTTGGACTAGATGACCTCCAAGGTCCCTTCCAACATTATTATTATTAATTATTATTATTATTATTAACTTGTACTGTGCACAGATTCTAAATCAGCGGTTTCCAATCTTTCTGGGCTCGAAGACCGGAGGAAAGGAGAGCAGCTTCAAAATTGGTGTGCATCAATGCACGCGCGGGGCCACACACACGGCCACAGCACTAGCAGCCCCATTCATGCATGCAGCATGCGCCGGTGCTGTGCGCATGTGTGAACAGCCGTGCACCATCAGGGCAGCTAGTGGCCCGTTTGTGCAAGTGCAAATGGGCTGCGCAAATTGCCCGGGCTAGCGCTACATGCACAAATGGGCTGCGGACACCTGCCCCGCGCTAGCATTCCCGTTCGCGCCCACGCGCATGCTGTGGGCACTAGCGTGAATGGGGGGGACATGCATGCCCATGTGTACGTGCACCGGCCAGCTATTTCTGCGTCTCGCTGGCCAAGAGCAGAGTATAGGCTGGGGACCCCTGCTGTAAATCTATTTTTAAATAAACACTTGGGCTACCTATGAAACCAGAGCAGGGAAACCTTTAATAAGGAATAGAATTAAAATCAAATTCAGCCACTCCTGGCGCCTGTTTTGAAATGAATGGCGAGTCAATTAAAAATCAAAGCAGAGGAATCCAGGGAGTTTGTGGTGGGTAGAAATGTTTGTTTTTAAATTTCTCCCTCGCCTGTAGTCGGTGAGATGTTTAAAAATAAATCTGCATATTCGCTGGTTAGTGGAACATTAATAAACATTTGCTCCACCAGGCTTGGGCCCAGCAGAATCTGAAGTC